AGCGGCGTCTTGTGCGGCGGGCGGGGCAGCGACGGCGACGGCGGCGAGAGGACTGGCACAGAGACGGTGGCTGAGTTTTTCACCCAATGGCTTCACGCACGTTCGCCGGACCTCGACTCGCCGCCCTCCCCGGAACACACCCTCCCATCGCCTTCGAACATCTCCTTGCTTCGTCCTCCGCCCGCTGCTCGCCCGCCAGCGACATAACCATCGATTGCCGTGTCCTGCGCGCGCACTGGGCGGAATGCCGAGGAGTGCAGTAGAGTTTGCATACAGGCGTTCTCCCTGCGCTTCCTTCCCCAAGGCTTCCTCCGGGTCTTCTCACCTTCGCCGATCTCGATGTCAAGATTGACATCGCTCCCAAAAGCCATGCAGATCCTTCACTATGGTATATCCAATTATCTTATGCTATCTTAGTAGTCCTACCTCCCTCTACACCCGCCCGCCTGTACATGTCTCCCTATTGGGAGCAATCCACAGATCGTAGCTTCGCGGCGCACCATCTCGTAGATCCGCTGTGCGCTCGCACGATACGCTGACCCTGCTGCCCCATGACCGCAGTGTCCGCGTCTACTCGTTCCACCTGCAAGACAAATACAGTGAGAATGCGGCACTTCCGCAAGAGAACTGCAGCACTTACGCGACCAGGAACATACACCCTACACCGACGAACATCGCCGCGAACTGAGGCACAGGCAAAGTGACGTGAGTACGAAACAACCAAGACAATAAGCTGACGAGGTCTCAATCACCTCGCGCAACGCTTGCTTCCCGCTTTTGCTGTCCTCGAGCAATCTGCCATAAGCTGTCAATCAGTACCTGACTGGAGGAACGCACGGCCGGTGTAGACGTACGTGGGCAGTACCGCTACAGCGCCGATGTACATGAACCCTCCCGCCACGAACGGGATCACCTGCATACATCCTGTCAGCGAGCTGTCGTTGCACCAAGAGCAGTCACTCACGAGGTCTGCTAGTTGCGCAGTAGTGCCTAGAATGCCAGCAGCAGTCTGCTGCAGCGCTGCAGCAAGGTTTGTGACCTCACCGTCCGCCTCTGCGGCGGCAGACAGGTTATGGATGCCAATTCCGATAAATGTGCTGTAACCGCAGCCTGATCAGCTCACACATTGGCGGCGATAGCGCGAGAGTTCGTCGTACCCAACCTGACCGTGACATAATCGGTCATAATAGAAGTCAGTCCGGGCACCTACAAAGAGCAGCCTCGCGGCCCCTCGGCGCGGTTACGACGGCGAAGGAGTCACGTACGAAAGCGCCGATGGCAGTCAGGAATTGCGACTGCATTGCCTGCTTCTTCGTGAAGCCGCTCCGGATGAGGATCGAATAGTCTGCGATCTCATGGGGAATCTCGTGAGCAAAGCACGCGAGGGTCGTTGTTGCGCCGATCAAAGGCGAGGAGTAGAAGGACGCAGCCATGCTGCAGGACGGATAGATCCCGGGTATTGAGCAACACGAACGTGCGACGGCAAACTTCTCGTGAAGGGACGTACGCGAGTCCATCAGTACTGCGAGGCGCGACAAAGGCGTTAGCTCAAAGCAAGATCCGGCGGGGCACTTGATGCGGGACCTCACATGTTGTGTACGAAGTCACCGAACAGGTTGAGATACGCTGACAGTTTTGACGTCTGCTTTGGCGCTTCCTGGACGACGCCGTTGCCGTTACTTTCGTGTTTCTCTGTCTTGTCAGAGCCGCGGGACTTCAGACCGTCCGCGGGGGGTGCCGAGACGGCCGTCGAGTGTCCGTTGGCGTGTTCGGCCGAACCGTTGCTGTGCGCATGCGAGTGGCTATGGGAGTGTCCCTGCTCGTCTTCACCACCAAGCACCCGGAGCGTCTTCTCCATGATGAAAAACGACGCGAAACCAATGAATATGCCCAGGCTGCGGTTCCATCAGCAGACGAAGGGAGTCATAGGGGACGAAGCAGCGGCGTACCCGATGAGAATGTTCCGCTTCTCCTCGACCATCACGAAGTGCACGCCCCCATCTTGGTGCTCGCCCATGAAGGAGTGTGGTACGAGATGGAGGAACACATCTGATAGAAGGCCGCCTGTCTGCACGGTCGCGAGATCCTGAGATGCAGCACGGAGCAACGTCGGCGTGAGATGCACTCACTGCGAACGCCGTCATGGTGTTGAGCGTGTTAGGGTTGATTTGCGCGGGGATGAACGCAAGGATGAAGTTCGGGACGCTGCACGAGGTGATGCCGGGGCCATCGAGATGGCGACCGCGTCAGTCGGTGGAAATGAGGAAGAGATGTGCGCAATACAGACGAGGAGATGTAGAACGTTCCAAGGACTGCCGAAAGCAAGCGCATCAGTCATCGACGAGCAGGACGTGAAACGTAAAGCATCCAGACGGAAGCGCGACGGATCGAGAGGCAGGGTGTGCATTGTAGGTGTGCACGTTCGTCTGAAGCAGCCTAAGCATGGACATAACGCACCAGAGTTCCAGCCAGGACCGAAGGGGAAGAGCCACGAGAACACCGTCCGCATGATGGGTGACTGTGCGGCCTCCAGCTCCTCCTTCAACGCGCTCAGCTGCTGTATGGGTGCGCATCCTTGCACGTCCGCGTTCTAAGAGTATGGTGGAGGCGTCCAGAGAGGTATGGGGAGCATATAGTCAGTACGGGCGTATTTGAGCTGGGTTCGCACTGTCACGCGTGCGACCATTGAGTCGGCTCGGGAAAGCACACGCACCGACACCACCAGGGGACCTTTCTCGGTCTCAGCAACAATGCTCGTTCCCACAGCGAGGCTCGCAGCGAGCGCGATGAGGAACAGAGTCCGGCGGCAGGAGGTCAGACTGGGCATCGTTGTCGACGGTTAGTGGCAGGCCCGGGGCTGTGGCAGCGATCGAGCTGACAGCAGATTATGGGCGCTCGTGGCACGCGTAGGCGCCCTGGATGGCGGTCGATAGCCGCGTGCGTTCGCAAGTTGATACGACGACGTCCGACTGAAATTCAACGTGTTCATTGTTGACCAGGACCGTCATGTCTGCGCCGTATCCCTCCAAGGAAGAGGCAATTATTGTCGCCGCGGCGGAGAAGCTCATGGTCGAAACGATGGCAAGATACGACCCGTCACACGACGCGTACCATGGTTCGTTCCACTCCGCCTACCGCGCACGCGACGGCAAAGTAACCACCCCGCGAACTGCACCTCACAGTTCAGCGCGTTAGGAAGACTGCGCTACAGCTCGCGCGCGCCGTGTCTGCTACTCTGCCCGATGACAAGGAGCCGGACCTGTTGACCATCGAACTTGCCTCACTTCTACACGACGTCCTGGACAAGAAATACGTGTCAGCAGAGGCTGCAGCGGACCCTTACGCGTTTTTTCTCCCTTTCTTCCAGAAGGCCGCGTCAGAGAGCGGTTTGGACCTCGTGAAGGACGGTCGTGCGCGTTCCATCGCGCGCATTATCGACAACGTCTCGTGGAGTACCGAGAAGAAGCGGCTTGCGGCAGGTCAGATCGAAGACTGGCACAGACAATGTGTGGAACTGCACTGTGTGCAGGACGCTGATCGTCTTGATGCTATCGGCGCGTTTGGTGAGTGACGATCCGTCCGCGCGAGTATATGACGAGGCTGGAGAGGCCTTTTTTACGGTTCTGTCGCTGTAGGTGTTTTGCGTTGTGCCGCGTACAGCGCTGCGACGAATCGGTAAGTGCCCAGACATCTATGGGCATCAGTCGCGAGTAACTCTTGCCTTCGTCTATCCAGCACGCTCCATGTCCCTAGGGATGACCCCTCTTACGATTCCTCCGCTGTCGCCCACTTTTACGACAAGTTGCTACACATCAGGGAACACCTCAAGACGGAGCCCGGTAGGAAATTGGCTGAAAAAAGGCATCAACTTGTGGGTCTCGATTGAGCAACGGCTCCCGTCCACCACGCTGACGTTCGTCTAGATGGTGGACTTCCTCTCGGCCATAGACGAAGAGTACGATGTAAGAATATAATCGTCGCGAATCGCTGTTCTCGCCGATATATGCCTTTTCCTCGCTGCCTCGCTCGGCAGGCTTGCATCTTGCGTAGTGAACCAAGACCCGACCATCGGACGGGCCTCGGAAGCAATAAGCGTTGTGGGTGCAGCCATTCCAGCGGCGAGCGCCGCATACGTTCGCGTGGACAGACCCGATGGAGTCACTTGCCTTCTAAGGTATGTTTTGTTTCGTTATTGCTCGTCTTCCAGGCCCATCACAGCATGGTGGTCCAAGTTGTGCTTCTAGGATACTTGGATCACAAGGACGTTGACCGCTCGTGGGCGGATTCTCCCTCTTCGCGAAAGGGAGCAGAGTATGGCATCTGCCCAACCTGGCTTGGTTCCGATTCGTATGGGAACGATGCCTCGCCAGGGTCTAGCGGCGAGTTGGAGCAGGTATGGCGACGACTCCTCGCTCGATCGCTCGAGATTGCTGATGATGGCCGAGCTTGCAGGCGAAAATGACCTGCTAGGTCCAGAAAGCCGAACCCGTCCCATCGTACAGACATTGGCAAATACTACGGACAGTACACGTCACAGGCTTGGGCGACAGGGCCTGCATGGGTGAATTCCTCCGCGAACCAGACGCCCGAACTTAGCTGTATTTGTGCCGTCAGCGAAGTGTCGACTCATCCGCGATGCACCTCGTATATCTCGAGGGCTATTCGTGCACGTGTATGCATGCGACGAAGGTCCGGCGCTGCCGTCAATCGTCTTGGTTGACCTTCATCACTTGGGTTCGGGGCCGAGGCGTCCCTTCCGGTAGGGATGTGTTCCACCGAAAAACGGTCGCAGTGACTAGAGAGGAGGGTGTGGCTGTGTGGCGGAGTCGTTCAGCTTTGGATATTCATACTGATACAATAGCAGGAGGCCACGTATGAGTCAACTCTACCGATACCATCTTCTGTGGTACGTGACAATTGTAGGGCTCAAAGAGATGTCATCTGAGGCATGACAGCGCACTGTCTGATGATGAAGGCCACAGATACACACCTGGACTGTATTTGCTTCCGCGATGGTCGACGTTGGCCATTTAGCCTGGCCTGAGTCTGGTGGTGGTCAGGAAAGGGCCTCTAGCGTACTTGGATCAGGCCTTCGCTCGACGCCGGCGCATGTCACTGCACCGCTAGAAGAGCTCCCGAGGATGGGCACTTACCAAATTTGCCTTGCTTTGGCTTGAGCCGCCTTGTAAAACACGTACGTACCCACTGGTTCAGGTACTCATCCTATGCTGACAAGTTGGACTGCGCAAGGCTGCTCTGATCTCGAAGTTTTGCGACCCGAGGATATTCCTACCCTCTTGCCAGGTTTGTGCTTGATGAGCAACCTCCGCCCACAGACATGCCTCCGAAGTTCCAAGTCATTGATGCTTCTGGTCCACCTGGCCCACCTTGCACCCAGCCGAAAGAGGTCTGATACACATTCTTGGTGAGTATATAACACGGTCGCCAGACAAGAAGTTGCTCAAGCACCCACAGTTCTCACATCCGCTCTTGCGCTAAATCGCCAACATCATGTCCGACCGCAACCCGTATCCCAACCATCCCTTCAGTCGTCCGGAGGATCGCCGCACAAGGAGGCTTCCGCCTCAGTTGCCCCAGCATGGCGGCTGGACCGACGACGGTTTCGTGCACCCCCAGACTCGCTACAATCCTGACCCTGCATATGCCGGCAACCAAAACGCCGGGCAAGGAGCGCCTCCTGGGTCCCGCTGGAGTCGTGACACGGCGAGCCTTCAAGGCACCCAGGGCCAGACCGGTACCCAAGGCTACGATGAGCAGCACGGCGGGCAAGCGGTCGCAGTGCAGCCTGGGTCCCGCTGGAGCCGTGACACGGCGAGCCTCCAAGGCGTGCAGGGTCACGGCGGTACCCAAGGCTATAACGGGCAACACGGCGGACAGGGAGT